GGAGAGGTGAAATGGAGGGAGAGGGAGAAGGGAAGGAGAAAGAGGGAGAGAGGGAGAGAGGGAGAGAGAGAGGAGAGAGAGAGAGAGAGAAGAGAGAGAGGGAGGACGGAGAGGGGAAGGGTGAGGGGAAGGGGGGGGAGGCAATTATTGAATCAACAGCGACGGGCGACAAACTCCATTTCCAGCCATTTTTACTGCCGCCTCGCATGCCGCCCGACCCTCGCCCGCTGTTGAATTTTCTCAGCCCCTTGGACACGCACTCGTCCGTTTCTTGGGAACCTTTTGATCTTCCATACGGCCGTTATTCTTTCCTCTTTTTCTTTTTCTACTTTTTTTATCGGACAATTAGAAAACGATAAACATTTCCTGACTCCTACTTGCTCCCCTCCTCCCCCCCATCCCCTCCCCAATCCCCTAACACGCACGAACGGACGCCACACACACACACACACGTACACACACGCATGCACGTACAAAATCACAGGATCAATGATAAATTAAACCAGTCAGTTAATCTCCAAATAATGACAATAATAATACGTAGGCAATTACCCGACAGTGACGAAACGCCGTTGTGTCAGAAACGTGTACTTATCTAACGTCTGTGGTGGTCCCTGTCCGGTTCTCGTTCTTTTATTTATTTCCTCCTTCCCTTTTATTTCATTTTTCTCTGTCTACGTATTCTTTTCTATTTCCCTGTCTCTTATTCCCCCCTATTCTACCTCCACTGTTTAAATATTCTCACTCGTTTCTATCTATTTATATCTCGTTTCGATGTATTTTCCGTTCTTTTTTTTCCATTCTGGCACGATTTCTGACTCTTTAATATTATCTTTAACATATATTTATCCATCTATTACTCCTCCCTAGTGTTATTCCTTTCTATCATTTCACGTAAACGCAAACATTCATCAATCTTCATCATTCCGTCTCCTTCTCACTCGTTACCATTAATAAAATTCAAAACCTACCCTGCCTCCCCCCTCCCATATATTCCTCCTCTTCCTCTCCTTTCTCCCATCCTTCCCTTCCTTTCCCACTTCTCCTTACCTCCCCTCCCTACCCTCCAATCCTCATTCCCTCCCCACTTTCCCTCCCTTCCCCTCTCTCTCTCTCCCTTCCCCCCCTACTTACCCTCCCCTCTCCCTCTCCCTCCCCTCCCCACTTACCCTCCATCTCTCTCTCCCTCTCCCTCTCCCTTCCCTATCCCTCCCCCTCTCCCTCCCTTCCCCTCCCTCCTCCTCCTCCCCACTTGCCCTCTGCCCTCACCATCTGGACCCTCGGCAAGAAGGGGGGAGGGGGGGAAACCAGAGCAGCGAGGGGACACGCAAAAAAACACAATAACAATGATCAGCCAATCAAGTTCAATTAATCGGATTTCGTCCGACGCTTTTCATTGGTCTCACGCCACTCCCCCCCCCCTCCCCCCCCGACTTATCCGCGACTGTTTACAAGAACGCCGAGGATGCTGTGGCTGGACAGAGGGGGGGAGAGGAAGGATGATGCTCTCTCTCTCTCTTTTTTTTTTTCTCTCTCTCTCTTTTCTTTTCTTCTCTCCTTTCATCCGGCTTTCATGTGTTGTCCGTTCCATCATCTGTCTGTTTGGCTAGCTTGTTTGTTTTCCACCGGTTTATCTTTTCTTTATCATCTCTCTCTCTTTTTCATTTCCTATTTTTAGTCGTTCTTCGTTTGCTTCTCTTTTGTTTGTTTTTTAGTATAGTCAAGACAATTTTCAAACAGACATGCATAAATATTTTAGTACAGAGAGACATGTGCACGAGCATGTACGCACACAGGCTCACACGCAAACGCACACACACACACACACCAGACCACCCTCATCGCAAACACACACACACACACACCTATCAACCTTACGTCCCTCCCTCCCTCCCTCTTTCCCTCCCCTGCCCCCCTTCCCTCCCCGTCGGCAACAACAGCGCCTACAAATCACGCAAACGCCGCCGGTCCATCTGGTAGGCCTACGGCGGCAATTTTCGGCGCGGCGGCTACAGCGGAGGCTTCGCGAAACGGGTCATTATCTCATTCCGGCCGAGCATCCGTGACCCCTCCGAGCTGACCCCGCGAGTCGCCGTTATCTTCAGGGGAGGGGAGGGGAGCAGGGAGAGGGAGGGGGGAGGGAAGGGAGGGGGAAGGGAGAGGAGGGGAAAGAGAGGAATGAAGGGCTGGGGGGGGGAGGGGAAGGGAAGGGAGGGGAGGGGAGGGGAGAAGGGAGGGGAGGGGAGGGAGCAGGGAGAGGGAGGGGGAAAGGAGGGGAGAATGAGAAATGATGTAAGGGGAGAGGAATGTTTAGCACGAAAGACACATGAGAAAAAAAAGGAAAGGGAAAGGGAAAGAGAAATTATAAGAAAAACAAAGTGAATAAACAGAAAGACCAAAATATTTAGATAAACATGCTAAACCAAAGCATAACAAAGAAATCCTCTTCGACTCTCCCCCTCCCCCCACCCCCCCTCTTACAAATATAATACCAATAAAAAGAGATACAAAATAAGACCCCAGATGGGCGGCCTGCTTTCCCGGTCCCGAATGCACACACCAGCTCCTCCTCCTCCTGTTCCTCCACCATCTTCTCCTCCTCCTGTTCCTCCACCACCTTCTCCTCCTCCTGTTCCTCCACCACCTTCTCCTCCTCCTGTTCCTCCACCATCTTCTCCTCCACCTCCTCCACCACCATCTCCACCTCCCTCTCACCTCCACCACCTCCACCTCCACCTCCCCCACCACCTCCACCTCCACCTCCTCCACCCCCCACCACCACCATCTCAACCTCCCTCTCACCTCCACCTCCACCACCACCTCCACCTCCACTACCATCTCCACCCCCCTCTCACTACCTCCACCTCCACTATCTCCACCTCCACCACCTCCACCTCCTTATCACTCCCATACGGAGTCCACAGGCGATCACCCTAACGCATCCCTGGGAAGATTCACGTTCCCACGCAAGGCCGTTCCCTAAGGGACACTTCAGGGGCGCGTATTAGGGCCGATCTAAATGTATTTAACCGACCAACAGGTGCGTAAGGGGCGGGGAGGTGAGAGGGGGGAGGAGGAGGAGGAGGAGGAGGAGGAGGAGGAGGAGGAGGAGGAGAGACAGGGGGAAGGGGGTGGGAGGTAAGGGAGAGAGGGCGAGGAGAGGAGGAGACTAAAAGGGATTATACGTATAAACTGATAAACAGATGTCACAGATGTCAAGATGTGACACTTAGATATAGAGATACTATGACCCATGTATATACCGCATATACCCGACAAGAAAAAAAAGGTGAGAACGCAAAAATTATAAACTAATCGAAGAGAAAAAAAGAAAAGAAAAGAAAAAAATAGCATGAGAGGAGAAGACAAACAAAGCGATAAATATTGACGGACTTCTGGAAGAAACAGGAAATGATTGCCAGCCCTGAGTCAAGGCAACGCCAGGAGACGCGCACATGCATACAGAAATGCCCCAAAGCAAAAAAAAATAATAATAATAAAAAATAAGAAAAGAAACCGCGTCACAAACAAACTGTCTACCCCCCCCCCTTACCCCTCCTAAGATTCCTACTCTCCCTTCCCCTACCCCTTCCCCTACCCCTCTTAAACCCCTTCTTTTGCCGTTTCTAAGACTACTGCACTCCTTCCTCTGCCCCCCCCCCATTCTCTTACCCCCTTTTAAGCTTCCCAGCCTCCCTACCCCCCACTCTTTCCCCCACCACACCCCTCCAACCCACCTTCCCCCAACCCTATCCTAGAAATCCACCCCCACTTCCCCTATCCTCACTAGGACTCATCTTCTACCCCTTCTAAGTCTCCTGCCCCCCTTCCCCCTACACCCTAAAGACTCCTCTCCTCTCCCCCTCCACCCTCCCCTTCCCTCCACCCTCCTCCTCCGCACGCAGGACACACCGCCCAGGAACAATGGCGCGGCGTGCTCTCCCACAATAACAGTCTCAGAGGAGGATAAATACCCCAATAACAGCGCCGCGCGGATGGCCTTGTATTTAACCCCTTGTTTACACACTTTTTGGCCTGGGAAGAGGGAAGGGGGGGAGGGGAGAGGAGGGAGGGAGGGAAGGATAGGGGAAACAAGGAGGGAAGGAGAGGGGAGAAAGGGGAGTCGAGGGGTGGGGGTGGGGGAAGGGCGGAGAAGTGTCTCGTGGGCGCACTAATCCTGCAATCTGGCCAAAGACAACACCCGCTGCCAGCCCGCAAAACGAGGCCATTCTCACGAGCGAGTGGCCTCCCCACGGGACCACCTAAAACCTCTCGATGCAATTACGTGCATGTCCGCCGCGGAGGGGAAGAAAGAGGGAAGAGAGGAGAGTGGAGAGAGGGGAAAGAGGAGAGGGGAGAGAGAGGTCACAAACCATCGATAACAGCAGGTTGTGCGAAGACAGAACAGCTGGTTGCTTCCAGGTCCTGGGAACATCCGAAAGAGGGAGAGAAGGGGGAAGAGAGGGGGGTGAGGAAGAGTTGAAAACACTTAACAAGGAAAAGAGGGGAGAGAACACAGATAGAGACAGAGGGGTAGCGAAAGAGGGAGATAAGTAATGGGAGACAAAACGAGGGGAGGTCAGCCACTTCATTTATCAAGTTACCGTGTTTACCCCCCCCCCCCCAACTGTCGCCGCACTATCCCACGGTAGTTCCTCCGCCGATCGCCCCCGTCAATTTGCATACCGCTCGTTAAAAGCCTTAAAATGGACTTCGGACCGGCCATTATGTACAAACCCAACCGGCGAAAAAAGGGCTTAATCTGTGCCATAAAATGCCAACGCAACGCAATGCAGGCAAGTCGCGGAGGGACGAAAGTGGAACAAAAAAGACGAAAATGGCAAAAATAAAACGACAACATCGAGGAAACTCCGCGATAAAAAAATAAATAAATAATAATAATAATAATAATAATAATCACTATTACTATTATTATTATAACAGCAACAATAATCATAATGACAAAATAAAGAAGAAAATAACAGGAAAATGGTACTCAC